ATTTTAGCGTCTTTTTGCGGTGAAAACATGATTTTGAAATTCTTGCAAAAATCAAATACTTGTCGGATTTTAATGAAACCTTCAGGACTTGAATAATATTATTTTAGAAACTTTTTTTAAGGAAATTTTGGTAAAACTATTTTATATCTGTTAACCCCTCCACACACACACAGACTTATTTAATTTTATGAAATTTCGAGAAATTCTTTTTTGTATGGCTTAATGTTCATATTAGTTATAAGCACACGCCCTTGGAGAATTTAAATCACCAATTTTCTTTTTGTAAAATAAGTCCCAAGTTACCGAAAATCTATTCTGAATCGTAAAATAAAAGTGAATGGAAAAAAATTATTTGATTAAAATTTTTAATTGCTTTTATGAATAAGATAGATATAATTATGGATACTATTATAACGAGAAAAACACATTGAAGTTGATATGCCGTAGAACAAACCAAAACAAACCTACTAATCATAAATGGTAAAGTTTAGTACTATTCAGCGACTTTTTAAAAAGAATTTAAGATTTTTGTGTGTAAAAACTTTTCTGAAATTTTTTGTAAATACGGACTTTCTATGCATGACATTATCAAAAAAATAAGAGCGATACCTGGAGTAAATGTAAAGCCAAAATGACTAAAATTCTAAAAAACAGTAGATTACTTAAAATATTTTCATAAATTTTTAAGATTACTGGATGGTTAAAATATTATATTAAAAAGGCGCTCACGGTGTAAGTAATTTTACAGTTATGTCCCCCGTAGAAAAAAAATGGTTAAATTCCCAGATCAATTCTGTGGACAAGACAGATTGGTATAAAATGACAATTAGAAAAAAAAATTGATCTGGGAATTTAACTATATTGTCGACATGGAAAAAAATCCCTTACTATAAAGGTAATTTACATTAACCATAAAAAAAGGCTTAAACACAAGCGTCTATCTTTTTAAATTTGGATTTTTTTTAATGTAACTATAACAACAAAAACATTTCGATTTCATTTTTGCCTTGAAAAAGTCGGAAGATGAAACGCGTCTGCAAAATCTAAGATTTTTTTTTTTCTAATTGTCATTTTTATTCCAATCTGTCTTGTCCACAGAATTGATCTGGGAATTTAACTATATATATATATATATATATAGATAGATAATAGATATATATATACATATATATATATATATATATATATATATATATATATATGAATATATTTGGACAGCAATTTGTCCTTCATCTCATTCATTTTCCTTATTTCGAGGATATATCAAGAATCGTATAAAATACAATATATATATATATATATATATATATATGTGTGTGTGTGTGTGTGTGTGTGTGTGTATGTATGTATGTGTGTGTGTGTGTGTGTGTGAACATATTTGGGCAATTTTTAATTAATTTCTCCGTTGGTTTGGGACATTCTCTTTGTTTCGTGGTAAAGTTTGAACATTAATTGCCTAATGCCTATTGCAAACCAAAGACGCTTTGAAGGAACTAAACAATTCCCACAACCTTCCTCGGTGGTAAACTCTACAAGATCCTGTTTAGATTGTTATGGAGAAAGTCTAGAGAATGTATTCAGTGCTGAGGCTGACATTCCAGAAGAATTCCATCATTTCAAAGAATTAACATTCCGTTCTTTAAGTTGGAGAAGAGCCATTCTCATGATTTTAAGTCTCTCTCTAACTATTCGTCTCATTCTTTTTTTTTATTATTATAATTCTTTGGTCTTCTACACTGAATCGTCCATCTTGAAGACAATTCTATGAATTTGCATTTTCATTAAGCGTTTGGATTATTGATTCTTTTTATATTCCCACATTTCGAACAACAGAAAAAAAGGACGAGATCAGCTGCAAGAGAAACTTTAAAAATTAAATTCACTATTTACTTCTGATGAGTGCAATGAAAACTTCAGAAAGATATCGAATCTTTCAAGTATTTTATTACTTTAAGAATGATGATCGGAGAGCTATTTGACTATATGAGAAAAAAAGGACAGCTATAGATACTTTCTGTAAATTTGCATCTATTCTATATAACTTCATATATATATCGGTCACGCAACCTGACCTCCCCTTTCATAACATAATACTCCGATAGAAGGAGATACTACTTGATGTCAATAAGTGAAAATCTCATTAAGAAAGTAGGGGAGATCAGGCTGTTAATACAATTTTTTTTCGGTTCATGTTTTGAGTACATTGGGGTGATCGATTATCATTATTCTAATTTTTTCAATTTATTTCTACATTCATTTAACGAAATGATTTGCGTTTATTAAATTTGCATCTGATGAAAATTGCACTTGAATAATTTTACATTTAATGATTTCAAAAGCATTTTTCTGATATACAACAATAGAGTTAATTTGATTAAAAGATTATTCATGCAGAAAATATACCGTTATTTTAATATATTTATTTATTTTGCGGTATCTCTCTAAATATTTCCAGCAATTAAAGAATGGTGCTAATACACCTTTTACCACCTGGGATATTGTAGCAAGAGCCAAATCTTACAATGGGAAAGGCAATAGATGTAATTTATGTCTTGTTGTAAAATTAGTTATTTTAAAACACGTAAATAACCCCGATTTGTTACACAAGAGAAATGAATTGATGGTTACATTATTTACATTGTTTGGACTATCGTCCTTATGTTTGTTGCCATATTTATCACAACGTTTCGGCCGTTGTACGCTCCGGCTTTCTTCTGGTGGTTGGAATGCCAAACTGAACTCTTTATTCCAAGTCCTTAAGGACACATGGCACAGTGGATAAAGGTTAGATCCAGTGACAGGACCCAAAGTGTGTGATTTTCAATACCTGGTTAAGGCAGTAGAGAACTTGGAGGGGGGGGGAATTAACAGGAGATAACTGATAACTGACATCCATTAAACATGGCACGTGGAACTAGAACAGTCTACCCGAGCGCGCAAAATAAAAGGTTCAGTTCGACATTCCAACCACCTGAAGAAGGCCGGAGCGTACAACGGCCGAAATGTTGTAATAAATATGGCGACAAAGATGAGGACAATAGTCCGAATAATGTAAATAGTCTACATAATACCTCCTCAGAAATATAGACAGATACTGAAAGGCCGAAACGTTGTAATAAATATGGCAACAAAGATGAGGACAATAGTCCAAATAATGTAAATAGTGTACATAATACCTCATCTCAGAAATGTAGACAGATACTAAAGGGCCGAAACATTGTAATAAATATGGCGACAAAGTTGAGGCCAATAGTCCGAATAATGTAAATATTGTACATAATACCTCATCTCAGAAATATAAACAGATACTCAATAGGTACTTTAGATATAGCATTTTGCCTTTGCTTTTTTTTTTCATGATGTTCGTATGCAGATGGACGTACCACGTAAGGAACTCTGAGTTAGTTTTCGTTTTTTTTAGTGAGAGCTAACGAAAATCTATCTGTTGTTATACATTACCGGATGAGTAATCCATATGGTATATTCCATTATTACTCGGTAGTGAGTATGATCCATAGTGGGTGCACGCTATACTTGTGCCTACTAAACTAAACTCCATTTAATAAATGAGAGCTAAAATTGCACATTATTTTTCTGAATTGATCATGAACGAAACTGAAAATATTTTTTTTTTTTTTTTGCTTTTCATTAAAAATATTTTAATGCATGTCTAGTTAGAGTATTCCTTTCATCATTTAATAAACCACCATTTTAGAATTGGACACCAGTTATGCAACTTTATACGTTCTGGTTGTTTTTCATGTAAATAAGAATGGGTTGGTATGGCAAAAATTGAAATTCTGGCCAAGTCTGTAACGTCAACTTTCGCACTAATGCTCTTGGAAAAGGCATAACCGTCTCTTTTCCATGACTCCCACCAGCTATGGATTAAATTTTTAACGATATCATGAAATCAAAAAGACAGAGGGCAAATGTCTATTGATTTTTTTTTTTTTTGTTCACTGCGTTTATGATTATTATTAAGATTATTTTTTATTTAGTTTAATTATTCTTTATTTAGTTTAAGATTATTTTTATGTGGGATTTAATCATCGTTTTGTTTATTATTATTTACGATTTTAATTTTAAATCGACATTTTTCAATTTCATTCTTGTTCTGTCATCTGTATTTATTCTTTTCGTTTTTTTCCTTCTTTGTCCTCTTTTTTTCTTTCTTTTTTCCGTTATTGGTTCATTTGTTCTTTCTTTCTTTCTTTACACGTTCATTTTTCTTCTTTCTTCCTTTCGTTATACGTTCATTTATTTTCTTTCTTTCTTTATTAGTATATTTCTCCTTTCTTTTTCTTTCTTTCATTCTTCTGTTACTCGTTCATTTCACCTTTCTTTTTTTCTTTTTTCTTTTTTTTTTTTTTTCAAATCATTTACGATTCAGTTTAATCTTTGGAAGACCGGTCTAATAAAAGGAAAAATTCTGAATTCAAGATCGTGGAAAAACATCCCACTAAGTTTCCGAGGAGTTATGGCAATTCACGGATAAAAACGAAAAAGAAACTGTGGAGGGTCATGATCACACAGACATGGTATTACAATCGCATAGTGGCGTTTCGAACATGAAGATGTGTAATTCAATTTCAAATTCAAAGGGGGTGTAATGTTGTGAAGCCTACGAAGCTTTATTTGACCCCTTTTCTCTATTTACTAACCTCCCCACAGGGCAAGATGTGGCACAAGGCCAGTTTAAACGTGGGGCGTTCAGACTCCGTAGGCTTGGGCAAAAATTGCCCGTAAACCCCGTATACACGGGGTTGGATTTGTCTACATCCCCAAACGAGACTCTGCCCTTCAGCATAGCCTCGTCTGGATTCCTCTCCGACGGGAAACAGAGAGTTCGGCAAGAGAGGAAGAGGAAGAGAAAGAGAAAGCCTCCTCCTCCTCCTCGTTCTCCATCATTGACTCATTCTGCTTTAATGCTAAAAAACGTTTATTTTATTGTGATGGATGGTTACAAACGAGAGGGGAGATGGGATGTGCTTATTTGATTACCACGTGGGAGGGGGGGTGCAGATAAAATGTTTAAAGGAGAAGAAACTATTAATACTTAAAAAGAAGACAAAGAGAAATGATGAATAAATGAATTGAGAGAAAAGGGAAAGAAAGAGAAATGAAAGTGTCTCCTTTGTTATCTTCCTTTCATTCCAGATTTTTCTTCTCAGAAAAATTAAAGAATAGATGAAGAGAAAGAGAGCGTGACTGTTAGAGACGAATCTGAAAGAAAGAAGAGAAAAAATGAGCGTATAACGAAAGAAAGAATGAATGAACAAGTAACGAAAGAAAATAAGAAAGAGAAAATGAACAAGAAAGAGAAAATGAACGAGTAACGAAAGAAAGAAAGAAAAGAGAAAATGAACTAATAACGAAAGAAAGAAAGAAAAGAGAAAATGAACGAGTAACGAAAGAAAAAAAGAAAAGAGAAAATGAACGAATAACGAAAGAAAGAAAGAAAGAAAAGAGAAAATGAACGAGTAACAAAATAAAAAAGAAAGAGAAAATGAACAAGAAAGAGAAAATGAACGAGTAACGAAAGAAAGAAAGAAAAGAGAAAATGAACGAATAACGAAAGAAAGAAAGAAAGAAAAGAGAAAATGAACGAGTAACGAAAGAAAGAAAGAAAAGAGAAAATGAACTAATAACGAAAGAAAGAAAGAGAAAATGAACGAGTAACAAAAGAAAAAAGAAAAAGAAAATGAACAAGAAAGAGAAAATGAACGAGTAACGAAAGAAAGAAAGAAAAGAGAAAATGAACGAGTAACGAAAGAAAGAAAGAAAAGAGAAAATGAACGAGCAAAGAAAGAAAGAAAGAAAAATGAACGAGTAAAGAAAGAAAGAAAGAAAGAAAGAAAGAAAGATGTGAATGATCTGCAAGGGACGAGTAGAAAGAGACAAGTTAATAAAGAAAGAATGAAATAAATGATTGAGAAACGAAAGAAAGAAAGAAGGAAAGGCGAAATGAAAGACTAAAGAAAGAAAGAATAAAAGAGTAAGGAAAAGGGAGCAAAAAAGAAAAAATGCAGATGAGAAAACAAGAATTAAATTGAAAATCTCCATTTAAAATTAAATTAAAACGTAAAAATAATAATAAAGAAAAGGATGATTAAATCCTAAATAAAACAAAAATTTAATCGAAAATTAAGTAAACAATAATTGAAATAAATAAAAATTAAGTTAATAAGACTCATAGACACATTGAACAAAAAAAAAAAAAACAATAGACATTGGCCCTGTTTTGTTTTTTGTTTTTTTTTTTTTTTTTGCGTGTGTGTTTTTTGTCACATGACATCCATAGTTAATTTTTATTACCTCATACCAGTTCGACAACATTTAGCAGCAGTCGAACAGGTTCTTACACCAAAAGGTTAGTCAAAGCCTGGACCTTGTAAAAGACAGGTGATTAGCATATATAGTAACTACAAGGCGTGACAATTTGCGACGTGTCCATTCGTCCGGTCGACATCACAGTAAATTGGACTTAGCTCTGTCCGTCTGTCTATTCGTTACGACTTATTACATAGACTATTTTTCTTTTTCTTTTTCTCTTACTTTTGTTTGGATGCTATTTTTTTCTCTGTGTATGTGTTTTTTGTTGGTTTTTTTTTTAACTTTCTCGCTTTTTAATTTGTTTTATTTCAATCATTTTTTTTTATTTGATCTTAAATTTCACCATTTTCATTCGTCATCATCTTTAGCCGTATCCACCATTTAAAAGGAAAAAAAAAGAAAGGCGAAGGAAAATCATATATACAGTAGTGTAATGTATATAATGAATTTGATTCTCACTGGATGCCTCACATCCTGCATCTACGTTTCGTTCAAAACTGAACATAACAAATCAATAACCAAATGTGAACATCACGCTGTCGTCTGGTCAAACATAATGACTGCAACAGTTTCCTAGCAACAGACGCCATTTTCTTTTTTCCCTGCAGCGATCCACTTATTTTAGCGTCTTCCTTCCTTTCTGAAAAAACTATAGGACTGCAAATCAACAAATGGGAAACATTTCTGGTCGAGGTCGTCGTGTATTTTTCAGCAGCGTCAGTGGTCTGGTTTAGAACCTAATGAATATATTTTTTAAATATCAGATACTGACATTCCAGGTCGGAATGTTCTCTCCACTACCTTTCTAGCCAATCTAAGCGACGCTTTGTGACAGAATACAATAAACTAAATTAAATATCTAAGAAATGTGGATTAATAATGAAGTAACTGATGACGAAGCATAAAATAGTAAATTTCTTGTCACAAGCACAGATTCATAAATCATTCAAGTGAATGTAAGGCATAACTGGGTAGGAACGGTGATCCCCTAGAAAGCGAATGATATTGAACCATTTATTCAACTTTACAGCGATCCTGTGTTAAAAGAGCTGGAAAGTCTACCAGGATTTATTATCAGTGGATATAATCTTTACAATATAGGATACGCAGATGACACTGTGTTGATGGCAGATACGGAATGATAACTACAGGACCACTGAGACAAGGTAATAAAAGAAAGCGCGAATAAAGGACTAACCATCAACTGAAAGAAGACAAAAAGTGTGGTTGTCGGCAAGGGAAAAAAAACCCAAGATGCGAACGACGATTTGGAAGTGTGAACATCAAACAAGGACAGAAGTTTAAGCATCAGGGAATAAGTCTTAACAGAGGATAGAAAATGGGGCATCGAAATCCAAACGCACATTGGATTAGCGAAAGTTGCCTTCCTAAAGCTAAGCAAAGTACTAAGAGATGCTAGAAACAAAGAAAAAATGGCTGAACTGCTATGTGGTATGAATACTCTTATATTGCAGTGAATACTGGACAATCTCCTCACAGATTATTTACATTATTTACACGATTCGGACTGTTATCCTCATCTTCATTGCCATATTCACAACCCTTCGGTAGTTGTACGCTCCGGCCTTAATGTCTACGTATCTCTATATATCTGTCTATATCTCTGAGATGAGGTATTATGATTATTAGCATCATTTATATTATTCGGATTGTTATCCTCATCTTCATTGCCATATTCACAACATTTCGGCTGTTGTACGCTCCGGCCTTTATATCTATGTCTCTCTATATATCTGTCTATATCTCTAAGATATGGTATTATGATTATTTACATTATTTTCCATGGGAACATCAACAATTCCAACTGTAGCTGGATCCCACGGATTGATTGGAAAAGATTCCATTAGACTCATTGAAGGGATTCCTGGAAGCCCATGTCTTAAAGCAATACAAAAAAAATTGTACTCACGAGTAAAGCCCACACCTTACGAAGGGCTTTTTCTATGTAAAATATGTGTGATTTTTTAATTGCTCAGTGGAAAATGCCATGATGCCTTAGTACACACCAGAAATTAAAGGAAATAATAATAATAATAATAATAATAATAATAATAATAATAATAATAATAAAACTGCAATGTATCTTTGATGATCTCCAAAAAGCTATCAAAATAAGAGGACCTTGAAATCGAAATCTCAAAAATATGGCGCTTGGAAACATCAACAATCTCTTTTGTAGTTGGAGCCCTCGGATTGATTGGAAAAGATTCCAGTAGACTCATTGAAGAGATACCTGGAAGCCTATGCCTTTAAGAAATGCAAAAAATTGTTCTTGTGAGTAGAGCCCATACCTTAAGAAGGGCTTTATCTATGTAGAATATGTGATGGAGCGTGTGTGTGTGTGTGTGTGTGTGTGTGTGTGTGTTTTGTTGTTTTTTTTTAATTGGTCACTGAAAATGTCATGATGCCATTTCTGACCTTAAATCTCTGGGCGGAATCCGGAAAGATATGTGTACACACCAGAAATTTAAAACAGTAATAATAATAATAATAACCCCGCACCCATCAGTGGCTACGTAGTTCAGGGTTAAAAGCTGGATTTGAAGGCTTTATTCTTGCTGCACAGGATCAATGCTTGCTAAGTAGAAATTACCAAACACACATACGGAAATATTGTGTTAGTCCAAAATACAGATTCTGCGATAAATATCGAGAAACAATCGACCAATCTTGTATCAGGTTGCGTGATATTGGCACCCACTGAATATAATCCCAGCATAACAGAGTGGGCCAGTATCTGCACTGGAAAATCTGCAACATTTACGGAAAGGAAACTGAAAGAAATTGGTATGAACATCACCCAGACCCAGTTACGGAGATAAAACCTGTAGTAATTTTATGGGACTTCACAATACAAAGAGACAGAACAATCAAAGATAATCACCCTGGCATCGTGATTAGAGACCCGCAAAGAGAAAATGTGCTTCCTTATTGACATATGGCAGTTCCTGAAGACTGCAATGTATCTTTGATGATCTTCAACAAACTATCAAAATACAAGGACCTTGAAATCGAAATCTCAAAAATATGGCGCATGAGAACATCAACAATTCCAGTTGTAGTTGGAGCCCTCAAATTGATTGGAAAAGATTCCGATAGACTCATTGAAGGAATCCTTGGTAGCACATACTTTAAAGAAATACAAAAAATTGTACTCACAAGTACAGCCCGCACCTTACGAAAGGCTTTATCTATTTTTAATTGCTCAGTGGAAAATGTCATGATGACATTTCTGAACTTAGGTCTCTGGTCGGGACCCGGAAAGAAATGAGTATACACCAGAAATCAAAGGAAATAATAATAATAATAATAATAATAATAATAATAATAATAATGATAATTAGAAATCTCGAAAATGTGGCATATGGAAACATCAACAATCCCTGTTGTAGTTGGAGCCCTAGGACTGGTTGGAAATGATTGCAGTAGACTAATTGAAGGGATTCCTGGAAGTCCATGCCTTAAGGAGATACAAAAAATTGTTCTGACAAGTACAGCCCACACCTTACGAAGGGCTTTATCTACGTAATTTAATTTTTTTTTTTTTTTTTTTTTTGTCAGTGGAAAGTGTCATGACGCCATTTCTAACCTTAGGTCCTTGGGCGGGACCCGGAAAGAAATGTGTAAACGCCAGAAATCAAAGAAAATAATAATAATAATAATAATAATAATAATAATAACAACAATAATAATAATCGAAGTTTAAAGACCTGGAAATCAAAATAGAAAAAACTGGAAATTGAAAACAAGAGTAGTACCAGTCATAGTAGGTGCACTTGGAATGATAAAAACAAAATGGAATGCAATAACACATTGAAAAATATCCCTTGAAATCCCAGCTTAAGAGAAATTTTTAAAAAATGTCTTCATAAGTACAACCCACACACTGAGAAGAACTTTGTCCATGTAACTCTAGTGATTTTATGGGAATTAGAAAAACAAATCATGAAATGTTGCTATAACAACACACCATTACCTGCCTTAAATTTTATCGCAGAGTTGGTAGGTAGTGTGACTATAGCAGAAATAGTAATATAATAATAATAATAATAAGAAGAAGAAGATGAAGAAGATGAAGAAGAAGAAGAAGAAGAGCTTTATCTATGTAAAATATGTGTGTTCTTTGTTTTTTTTTGTTTGTTTTTTGTTTTTTTGCAAAACTGTTTAGTGGAAAATGTCATGAAGACGTTTCTGACCTTAGGTCACTGGTCGGGATCCAGACAGAAATGAGTATGCAACAGAAACCAAAGGAAATAAAACAACAACAACAATAATAATAATAATAATCGAAGTTTAAAGACTTGGGAATCGAAATAGAAAAATTGGAAATTGAAAACAAGAGTAGTACCAGTCATAGTAGGTGCACTTGGAATGATAAGGAATGTAACAACACATTGAAAAAAATCCCTTGAAATCCTAGCTTAAAAGAAATACAACATTTTTTATTGATAAGTACAACCCACACAATGTGAAGAACTTTGTCCATGTAGTAACACTAGTGATGTTATGGGGGTTAGAAA